TCCTGTTGACTTAGGTATGTGTAATTGTATATATCTAATATACATGGATAATTGTGTAATCACTCATCAGCCTTGACTTTGGAGAGGTTTGGGTAAGATTTGTCTACACAATGAGGAAACTTTGAACATGAAGGGGTTTGGTTTCCTGCGTTGCTTTGCTGTGTGCCTGCAGTTACCAGTGCCGGGCTGGGGTAAGAATATCACTTGTTTTTAAATACTTCTAGAATGTCAGTGCTTTGAGGGACCACGAATGGTGGTGGTGTGGTTACACAGTAATATCCCCATCTTGATGCTGGGTGATTGGATTTTGGGAATGGTCCAAACCAGTGGACTGCCTGTGAGTTCAGTTCGGTATTCCAGTTAAATAAGTGGAGCTCACTGGTATCAATAAAAGAATAACATACAAGCAACAAGTTAATTTGCAGGTGTTTATCTTGTCATTATTCCCTCAGCTTTTTAGAAGAAACATAAAAACCTAAACCCCCCTTATTTGTGTGGCTACAGTGCAAAGGGATCTGGAGTTGTGACCACACTGGAGGCCTACTTGTCTTATTCATATATTTCTTTTAACGTGTTTTTCCTTTTCAAGGAGCCTGCTAGGTGGTTCTGAGGGGAAACTTGCCCCCTCGAGAAGGTTCATTGGGACTGTCACAGATCTCCTTGTGTGGCTGCCTCCCCTTAAACCCGAGCTCCAGCACTGACTAGCTGTGCCTGGTCAGGGAAGGCTGTAACCTGGGGAAAGGTGAGGAGAGTTTTGTGTCTGCTGCAGGGACCAACCTGTTCCTTAAAGCCAGAAGTCTGCAAGCCCAGCTGTTACAGCTCTGCAGCTGCAGGAGGAGCCAAAATGAACTTTAAGGTTCCTTCCAACCCAAACCATTCTGAGGTTCTGTGAGTTGGTTTAACAGTAATAGTTGTCAGAGAGTGACACAGGACAGAACATACTAGAACTGCCAGAGTGCCTCATTAAGGCTCTGGTTTTCACACAATGCTCCTGACCCAGTCCCAAACAAACCTCTCCAGTCTGTGGGCTTTGTTACCACTCCCTGGCTGGGGCTCAGCGCTGATAAAAATAACACTGAACGTACACTGTGTGCGCTCTGGGGGAGGATCCTGTGAGTGCCAACGGAAACATTGTCTGTTTGGGGCTGAAGAAAGAAATACAGCATTTGCTACTAAGGAGTGAAAATAGAATTTTCCTAAATTACACAAAAAGAAGAAATTATAAACCAAATGGCATCACTGTTGGGCTTAGTGTGATGTAGGAACACTTACTCAAAATGCCTTTGCACACTAAATGCCCTCAGCAGTGTGGCTTCTAAGAGTGAGGGGATTTTGAGAGGATTCAGTGTTAATTTAGTGAAAGAACTTCGGCCAGTGTTTTGGGAAGAGCTGGGCTGACTGCCCTTAGAAGTTAAAGTATCTCTCTATTGTCACTGTATTACGGCAGTTGACAGCAGTGGATTAGGGGATGGATGATTCTTTCAGTTTTCCTTGCTAGAAATAACTCGAAGGATTTAAAAATCCTCTTATTCTCAAGTGGTGCCACGGGAGGAGTTGCATAGAGAACTCAGCATATTCCATCAGTTGGCTCTTAGAGGCTTCTCCCAAAGATGCTGGGGTGTGACTGCCTTCCCTGGAGCAGCAGTGACCTCTCCAGGGCAGGGTGCTGCTGAACACCAGTGACCTCTCCAGGGCAGGGTGCTGGTGAACATCTGTTCCTGGTGAATGTCACAATTACCATTTCACTGGGTTTCCTGCAGTTAGGAGATCTCCAGGAGTGTCCCCATCTATGAAGGATGTCAGATTAACTTGTCTTAGCCATTCTGTTGATATAAAATAACTTTTTGGCTTAAACGTTTGGAAAACCTTGAAGTGTCACCGAGGGGTCACCTCTGGTAGCCGGGAGGGTCATTGTTTTGTTTGGCTTTGGAGCTGCAGTGCTGCTGTGAGGCACAGGGATGCAGAGCTGGCTGGGGTGGGTAATCCAGGGTTGGATCTCAGGCAAAGGTTCTTCCCCCAGAGGGTGGTTGGGCACTGCCCAGGCTCCCCAGGACAGTGGGCTCAGCACCAAGGCTGCCAGAGCTCCAGGAGGGTTTGGACAGTGCTCTGAGGGACAGGGTGGGATTGTTGGGGTGTCTGTGCAGGGCCAGGAGTCGTACTGGATGGTCCTTGTGGGTCCCTTCCAGCCCAGCATATTCTAATTCTCTGATTCTCTGATCGAGTGCAGGATTTTAATGTAATTATCTGAGGGAAAACACACACATGTGAATTGGAGGGCCTTAAGCAAACAAAAAGGCAAAAACCAGCTGTTCCTGAGTATAAAGCCATTGTCTTATGATCCTATCTCTCCCAAACTGTTCACTGTTGTTCTCTACAGATGATAAATTCCCAAGCTGGGAAGCCACTCTTCATTCCCTTCAAATCCAGATCTCTCCAGCTCTCTGTTACTTATGCTATGCAATACTTGAGGGCTCCATGCTGTAGGTCACATCAATCTGAAGCCAGTGGGTTTTTCTACCAGTGTAGTTCATCAGGAAGTGGTTATTTCCCAGTCCTCTTCCTGCAAATAAATTCCATGGGCACTCAGTTCCTTCTGGACTGAACTGAGGAGTGAGTAATAACGCAGGGGTTCTCATATCAGAATAATGATGAGGGGAAAATGGATGAGAGGTTCAGAGGAAGCAGGAGAATGTTGTTTTGGACACAGTAGTACAAATCCTGAAGTGCACTGAGCATGTGCACTGAGCATGTCCTGAGCTCACTCTGACTTTAGGAGCAGCCTTTGGATTTGGGGCTTGCTAAACAACGGTTACTTAGAAGTTTGGCTTTATAGAAATTACCCGTTCACACATTATTTATTCTGCTGATTGGCTCCTCGGGATTGCTTTTGCTCTGGGCAAATAAGTGACAAATCTGGGCAGAGGCAAACTTGCCAAATTTAAACAGTCAGAGTTGCCGCAGACCAAAGCTAATATTGGCTGACACTGAATTGTGCTGCCTTGGGATGAATCCCCACCCTGGGGTGGCCAGAGGACTCCGGTCTGTGTTGGTGCCACCTTGGGTGCTGGTGGCAGGAACAGAGGGAGGATCAGAAGGTCACTAAGGAAACCCTCCTGGGCCAGGATCCTGCTGCAGCGAGGGAATGAACCCCCTGTGCCCATGGTCTGCCAGGGCTGGGTTTGCAGGTGAGCTGTGTTTGGGGATGCTGTTCCTGCTGCATGGTCCTGCACAGCCAAACCTTGTGGTGCCTGTGGGCCAGGCAGGCCCCAAATCCAGCACCACCATGAAGGGGGATATCTCCAGGGCACTGTGCCCCTGAAAGCCCTCGACTTCGGGCTAGAGGAGCATTTCTTGGATTACAGAATCACTGAATCATTTAGGTAGGAAAAGACCTCTGAGATCGAGTCCAACCTTTGATCACCACCTTGTCAGCTAGACCAGAGCACTGAGTGCCATGTCCATGTTCCTTGAACACTGGATTCCTTTGGAATGTGTGCTGTTCTGTGGAAGCAACTACTGTACTACAGCTTGTTGCTCTCCTTTGGCCCTTTTCCACCCATCACTCCCTCTCCACACGAGGTATTCCTTCTCTCAACCCTGCCTTAAACTGGGTGAACCTCATGAGGTCATTTATTCCTCCCTGCCACCACAGCAGCAGCAATGCTGGTGCCTTTATAGAATGCTTTGCCTGCCACCTCTGACCGATGGTTGTTCCCCCTCGTGCATCTTGTGTGATGGAGCATCCCCAACTTTTCCTGACATCTTGCTCAGTTGTTTTGCTGTTCTTTTTTGCAGCTGATTCTGGGCATTGTTTGCTGAGTGGAATTGGAGTTACTGTTTGTTTCTTCATCGGTGCTTTATCATGCTGCTGTTTCTGTACACTCAGTGTAACTTTTTTTCTCGTAGCTGAAGACAGATTGTGCTGCAGGGCCTGGGCTGGGTTGGAATGAGGGCTTTGGGGAGGGGAGGCGGCGCCTGCGAGGCCATTGATCCCATCTTTATAACTTTGCCCTTTTAGCTGGGAACAGATGATTTGCACAGGGGTTGGAGATGGTGCAGGCAGAATCCGAAGGACCAAACTTTACATAAACCATTTATACTAAACATTGGGGATGCTGGCAACATAAATCAACTACAGTATCTATTACAAATTTATCACTTTATCAGTATCATCTGTGATAGGAGTGGTCTGAACAGGTGGGGAAGTGAACCATACCTCGGGAAGTTTAGCCTGCTTGGAAATTAATTATTCAGGACACACAGAGCCTGGCCCCTTCAATGTATAGTAATTCTTTCCAGCCAGCATCCAGGCCTCCAACTTCAGTGCAATAATAAATAGGAAAAGTCTCAGGTGAAGCCAGTATTTCAGAGTAATTAATCATCTTCCCCTCATGGTCCCTCCGCCTCTCTCTTGGTTTTCTTTAACGAGGGAATTTCAGTAATAAATCTTTAATGATATATGTTAAGAATCCTTCATTAATTCTTGTCCACTTATTTCTCTCTTTTGGGTGCTTTTATGTTGTATGTTGGGAAGTTAAAAGGAATGTACAAGAAAAAACCAGCTAAATTTGACACAGTCTCTGAAAGGATGTTTTTGGGTGTTGGGTGTTGTGTGTTTGTTCACTTGGTAATCAGAATTGTTGGTTAATAGCAACTGGATTGTCAAAAGGATTCTTGGATACAAGTGCAGAGTTACAGCAGGATTACAAAGGAAAAGGGAGAGGAAAGAGTGGTTTGTCTGCTCCTAAATGGAGGGGAAGGGGCAGGAGCGCTCCGTTTTGAGCGGGGTATGTGGTGTGGGCCGCGCGGAGGCCCTCGGGGCGCACGGCCGGACACGGCGCTGCCCACGCGGCGTCCGGCGAGGGGCCGCGTCTGCAAACACCCCCGTGGGGCGAGCGGCCGTCAGGGCGATGGGATGTGACAGGCCCGGCCGTGACGGATGGGCCGTGACACGCGCCCGCCCGCCGTGGGTGACGGGTGTCCTTCGTGCCTCCCCGCAGGACAGCACAACGACGCGCGCATGAACCTGGCCATCGCCCTCACGGCCGCGCGCTACGGCGCTGCCACCGCCAACTACGCCGAGGTGCGCGGCCTGCTCAAGAGCACGGACCCGGCCAGCGGGAAGCTCCGCGTGTGCGGGGTGCGCTGCAGGGACGTCCTGACCGGTGAGTGCACGGGCAGAGCCCCTCGGGAGAGGAACCGCGGGGAGCGGCGGGGCCGCCGCTGTCTCTGAACACCCACCAACCACAGAGGAGCCATCTTCCCGGGCCGTGCCATTAGTGTCACTCAGCTTTAGCTTCTGTCACGTTTCTCACTCAAATCCCAGTGTTTTGGCAGGGCAGACTGAGCTTTACGTCCAAACCCTTCTGTCAAGGGAAGATGACATTGTCAAAGGCTCCGTGCTGTACTGTAATAATCCCATTTACTGAATCTGTGGGGTGAGACTGAAATCTTTTTTCTTGAGAGGCAGATTTCAGCTGAGCAACTTCCACCTTGTCTGCCCTCACAGATAGGTTGGAATTCCATTCTAAAACATTCTCCTTCAAATCTGGTGTTAGGTGAACACTTAGTTAATTTTTAGAGCCCACCCCAGCTGTTGTGTTCAGACATGCAGGATACACTTTACAGTAGGGTGAGTTCATAGAGAGATTAATAACAGAGAGCGACAGCGAGCAGGAAACAAATGGTGTCTGTGATTGATACTGTTTTCTTTCACAGGGAAGGAATTTGATGTCAGAGCCAAGTGTGTTATCAATGCTACGGGACCTTTCACAGACTCCGTGCGCAAAATGGATGATGAGGAAGTGCCCAACATCTGTCAGCCCAGTGCAGGAGTGCACATCGTGATGCCTGGTTATTACAGGTACCGGGGCTCGGGGCCTGCTCCATTTGTAACACCATTTGTAACAGTCTCTGCTGGGGAATAAATGAGCTCGCCGAGACGCATTGCTGGGTTTTACAGCACTTCTGAATGCACAGTTGGATTTTGGTTTTTATTTGTGTTTTTTAAAGAGGATTCTGGCACTGTGCCGACGAGAAGAACAATTTCATCTATTCAGAAAACACTGAAGTGTTTTAGTTCTTAGTTAAAGCTCCCCAAGGCAGGACTCCTGCTGAAGCAGAAGGCCTTTAGGCAGAGCATCACCAGACTTGTGAGAGCACCTATTTCAATAATGCCTTTGAGCTGAGTGTGCTGCCTGCCTGGTCACCTCCTTAGGAAAACCTCCCAGCGAGGTTGCATGTTCATACAGGATCTCTTGTCCTGTTAAATCATGGAATCACAGGATAGTCTGGGTTGGAAGGGACCTTAGAGATCGTCTCGTTCCACCCCCTGCCTTTAAATATGAAACTCCCTGTGCAATGACTCTGCTACCTGCTCAGTGTAAATAGGAGTACAGAAGTATAGAATAAATAATATAATGGGCAGTATGATAAGTAATAATAAGTAATATTAGTGTCACCCAAAAGAATTAGTTCAGAGTAACACAGTTAAATTCTGGCACTTCTGTGGCCACAAGCTCCCCCCAACCTGTGGGGGTTTTGGTGGTCAGGATGTGCCCCCTTGGCCACCCCCGTTCCAGGAGAGGTTCCCATGGCACTCTGCTCCCTGCAGTCTCCTGCTTCCCTCCCTGTTTGCTGTGCAAAGCCAAATCCCCTTCTCCCGAGTCAGCCCTGTCAGTTGGAACTCAAATATTACCTTTGGTTCCTGAAGTCATTAGCATCCTAATGGAAATTCTGCTTTATGGACTTAGCCCAGTTCTGTTGATACAGAGCCCTTGCAGTAATGCCTTCCACGGCACCATCGTGCTCCTTGGAATGGGAATTCAGCCTTCCAGGGCACAACAGGGTGTTCTGCTGGAGCTGTCCTAACAGCACATGACCACAGACTAAAATTGAGGCATTTTTGGCCTGGTGTAAAATCACCCCTGCATTCTGTTCTGGTTTTTTTTGTATCTTTCCTCATGAGAAATGGGAAAATGACCTGATAGCTGCTTTAAAGTACTAAAAATGTGAAGAAATGGGCTGTAATCCCAGTTTCCTCATATGCTAGGAGGAGGACGTGGCTTTATGGCCCTAAAGAAAAACATGGAAAGCTTTAAAACTTGGACTCACTTTGTAAATTCAAAGTAGAAGATGGCTTGATATGCATTTATTTATTCTGCAATAACCCAATAATTTTAATTGGAAATGTGGAGAATTCTTGTTCTCCGTGTTCCCCGGTGTATGTCAGCATGTGGGCATTACTTTCCTTGGGAAATAGTATCTGCCCACATGCTGCCTCCACAGCACAGCTGATTAGATAAAACTGCACTGAATTTCCTTGGAGTGTGAGAGCTGAAAGCAGGGAACTGTCTGCTGAACAGAAAATACTCGTGGGATTTAATCTTGGTTGTATCAGGTCTTCTCCTGGTGCCAGGGGACACTCCTGAGCACAGGAAGGATGGCATTTCACCCTGTCCATGTGCCCTGTGGTGAATGTTTTGTGCCCTGTGGTGAACGTTTTACAGAATTTTGACCCATAGTCACAAAAATTATTTTTTTTGGTTAAGATTTAGAGGTTGTCAGTTATAAACGTAGTTAAGATTTTGTAAAACTAATGTTAACCTAATGCATTCACTTCCCGTGGGTTTTTTGCTCATTGATGTTCTTCGTTAATAGTCCCAGAATTCCTCCCCTCATTAATTAGGCTTCCAGCCTGGAATGTGTCTGTGAATACAAGGCTTTTTCCTCTCCCTTCTGACCAATTTCAGACATTTTCAGTCTTTCTCGAGTTTTCCTCTCTGCTCTGCATTCCAGATTCCAGGTAAACTTGTCTGTTGTACCTCAGTTCTGCTCTGTGGAAAGTCACTTTTTGTTCTTAAGTGCATTTGTGGTGCTTTGGTCAAATGCTTCTTCAGCTGGAGATCAACATGGAGCCAAGACCTTCCATGTATCTCCCAGACCGTGTCCCTCGACATTTCTGTGTGTCAATGCCTTGCTTTAATGCTTCATATTACAGTTTGCAGTACTGACCTTGCCCATTTTAGCAGCCTTTGAAGAGGAATCTCAGCGTGGCTGACAGGGCTCATACCTCTTCTCCCATCCATTTTGGAATCATAGGAATTCCTGCCTTAGAAAGCTGTGTTGTTTCACAGGTATCCCTGGTGTGTAGCAGGGTGACTCCACAGGCTTCCCAAAGACTGGTATTTGGGTGTTAAGATGCTGCTTTTTGATGCAAACCACCTTATTTTGCATTTGTTTGGGTGGCTCTTTAGTTATTTAAATAAGCTGGAACAAGCCGGGCAATGGGCAGGAAGAGAGAGCTGCCCAGGAAAGCTGGTATCAGTAATTCAGTAAATAATTGGCACATTTAGTAAATAATTGGCACATGGAAGGCTTGCATCCTCTCTCAGCACTTGCTGTGCAATCTAAAAACAGTTCAGTCCAGAGGTGCTGTGGGAAAACGTAGTTTGAAGTCTCTGCTTGTTTCTCTTCCTTATTTTTAAGTTTTTATGAAATCACATAAAAAACCCCACATACTTTTAAGAAAATGTCTGTAAAGTTTCTGAATTCTGATACTGTATATTAAATCTCTGATTTCCTCTGTCTCTAAATCAACAGCTTTTTCATTTTAAAAAGTAATCATTTGTCTGAGGTGATTTACCTTTCCCAAACTGTGTTGACTTCCCCTATTAGATTGTACCTCTCCCTCTGTAGGCCTAAGCTGTCTTTAAATATCAGCTAAAAAAGGTTCTAATATACATGCTAGGTATGAAATTCTCAGCTTCTCTTCCAGCCTTGCCATATATTGCAAACTTCCCTTCAGTAATCAGTTTAGGCTTCCTCAAAATGGAATATTCATTGATTCAGCTGGAATAGGTAGTTCTCACCCAAGCACGTCTTCGCTTTCATTAGGAATTGTTTGAGCCCATCGAATGATTCCCCTCTAAAGTTCCTAATTGCCACCTAAATCTCCACCTCCAGTCCCCTTCCACGTGCTCCCCATATCCCCCTCTACTCCCAGGAGTGGGTGCACAGCCTGGAGACCCCTGGAGACTACATGTGTTTTTATAAGGACTTGCAGCACCTGAAATGAAAGTCAGCAGCTACCCTTAAAATAAAAATGAACAAAGAAAGAGGCAGTTTAATGTTTTTCTCTATAAAAGCTGTTTACTTTTAAGTGTTTATAAAAGCCTCTTATTTTCTGAAATACAAGCAGAGCTTTTTAATGAGCCACGAGGAGGTGGCTGGGTTTGTACCTGTGAATTTTATTTTACATTATACCAGAAACCACTGATACATAAATTAAAATTTCCTGTCCAAAGAACTACAGGTTTTCTTCCTTGTACTGAATGATTCCATTCTGCACTAGCAGAACTAATGAAAAATCTCTGAGTAGCAGCATCACTGCTGTCTCTTTTGCCTTTTTTCCTCAAAGCACAGTTCCCCGCTCAGGGCCACAGAACTGGGAGCACTTGAATCCCTAAGGAGTCTGTGGGTGTTCCTTCCTGTTGAAGTGGCAGGTGGTGACAGACTCAGGCTTAGTGTCACTGGAAGGACTCCTTAAATGTCCTCATTTCTCCTCTTTTCTCTCCTTTTTCTCTCAGTTGCCACCCCCTGCCCCTCCCATTCCACATGTATTGGGGAGGCAGGTTGGAGGGGATTTCGTATGTCTTTAATTTTGCCCTCTGTTCAAGGTGCAAATAATTGACAGCTCAGGTTAATAAGCTCTGATCTTTATTATTTCTTGTTCTGTACTTAGTCACATCAAAACAGAACCAGGGTTCTGTTCTTCTTTCTTCCATTTGAATAGATTAGGGATTAGGGAGAAATTCCTGGCTGTGAGGGTGAGGAGGCCCTGGCCCAGGTTGCCCAGAGAAACTGTGACTGCCCCTGGATCCCTGGAAGTGTCCAAGGCCAGGTTGGACGGGGCTTGGAGCAACCTGGGCTAGTGGAAGGTGTCCCTGCCCGTGGCAGGAGGTGGAATGAGATGAGTTTCAAGGTCCCTCCCAACCCAGCTCAGTCTGTGAACACTCGTTGTGTTTCAGCCTTCCCTCTCCCTTCTGGCATAATACGGAGGATTGCCTGTTTTGGGGATTAAAAGCAGTTGTTCATTCCATGAGGAGTTTCGAGTCATTGCAGGTTTAAAATTTCCAACTGTTCGTATTTGAAGTTCCAACACACAAGGTTTTCCAGAGTGAATGGGCATGGGAGATGCCCAAGGCCTGACTGCTCCACCTTAAGGTTGTGATCTGCTCACTCGCTTAGGAAACCAAACTGTAGGAATTTCTGAGCCTCGCTTCGAGGGCCTTGTTTCCCAGAACTCCTGGGACTGCTGTTTAAAGGCAGGTCTTGGCCAGAGGTGAACTCTATTATTTATTTATTAAATCATTTGGCCTAAGAACAAAGGTTCTGTTCCAGTATTTCCCTGGAGTACCAGGTGTGCAGAACCCCAGGTGCTCCTGCCCTGTGTTGACCCACGTCCCTCCTTTCTTTCAGCCCTGACAACATGGGGCTGCTGGACCCAGCCACCAGTGATGGCAGGGTGATTTTCTTCCTGCCCTGGGAGAAGATGACGATCGCAGGGACCACGGACAGCCCCACCGATGTCACCTCCCACCCCATCCCCACGGAGGAGGACATCAACTTCATCCTGAGCGAAGTGCGCAACTACCTGGGCGCCGACGTGGAAGGTAACCCTGGGAGGGCTCCTTCCCCTGGGAGAGTGCTCAGGGGTCTGGCCATTCCAGCCCGGGGAAGTACAGCAAATAATTCACCTGGAAGAAAAAGGTGTTCAGAGCTTTCCCATGCCCTTGTTTCTATTTTCATTTTTCTAGGCATTTTATTCTTAGAATTTACTTTGCTTGGTCGGTAAATATCTTAGAGTGGCAGTTTTGGTGGGAAAGTAAAATGGGCCAGAAGGAGAATGTATAAAAATTCCTTGGTGACAGTTGTTCCCTTCAGTAGCTGAAGTTGTTCCCTTCAGCACCTTTGCTGTAAGGTGCTGGCCTGCTGTGGCTCAGGGCTGGTTTGAAGGACAGGGGCTTCTTTCCTTAGAATCACAGAATCATGGAATAGTTAAGGTTGGCAAAGATCATCAAGTCCAACCATCAACCCAGCACCACCACCATGTTCACCACTAAACCGTGTCCTCAAGGGCCTCATCCACACATTTTTGACCACTCCCAGGGGTGTTGACTGCCCTGGGCAGTCTTTCCTTTGGAGCGAGGCTTTGGTTTCTCTAAATTACAGCATTTGTACCACTGTATTTCTGCTGCAGCAACTGCATTAAAATGGAAAGCACTCAGTCAGGAACATTGGAACATCCTTAGATTTAGGGAAACTTACTGTCTGGAGATGGGAAATGCTGGATTCCTTGTTTCCTGCAGTGGACAACTGATGTCTCCATGTTGTGTGAAGTTATGAAAGAGTCTCCAGGGAAGGTCCTGTTGAGTGTCTGGAGCAGCAGTTGCTGTTGGAAGTGCGGGAGGCCAGGCAGGGAGTTGGGAATTTGAATAAGACAGAGATCAGATTAGATATTAGGAAAGAATCCTTCCCTGGGAGGGTGGGCAGGCCCTGGCCCAGGTTGCCCAGAGAAGCTGTGGCTGCCCCTGGATCCCTGGAAGTGCCCAAGGCCAGGTTGGACGGGGCTTGGAGCAACCTGGGCTAGTGGAAGGTGTCCCTGCCCGTGGCAGGGGGTGGACTGACATGAGCTTTAAGTCCCCTCCCAACCCAAGCCATTCCATGGTTTCACAGGTATTTCCCAGCAGCGCATCCCACAGTGTTCAATCCCTCTGACTCCAGCCCACCTGGGCACTCGGTGTTTCTCACCCCTGCAATTACCATGTTTATAGATGGCTGGTACTGAAATAACAACTGCTCTGCCCATATCAACCCTCCACAGCCCTGCCTGTGCTGCCAGAGCCAGTGCCAGGGTTATCAACTTCCACAGGCTTGGACACCTTCCAGCTGCTTAATTACAGCGTCACGCGTGCTGCTTCCTCTAGTTCCATTAGTTTATAAACGTAATATGGGATCCTAGCCCTGTGATTAACACTTCATTTTGGCAGGTTAAACACATTGGCAGAGCACCATTGATTTTGGAAATCTATTCCGTGTTCTTTGGGGGATGTTTTTTACACCCTTTCAGTGATTTTTCAATTATCATTTATTTGAAAGTTGTAAAAACATGTTCCAAAGACTTCGGTGTGAAGCAGATCGGTAACTGCTCTTAGGGTGAAGGCTGTGGGTAAAGATGACTTGTCAAGAGGAGAACTTGGAAAAATAACCTACAAGCTAGAGAAAAAGCTTAGGAGTCCTAAAAGGAAATGTTACACTCATGGCACAAACTTTATTTTGGCTTTTAAAATGTAGTGTAAGGACTATCCTGCCAGCACAGGCAAACAGGGAGAGTCACGGTGCTGGGGTGATGTGTTGTTAGGGTTTGGGCTTGGGGCTTTCATGGGCTGGTGGGTGAGTTTGACAGTTGAATCTCTCCGGGTTATCCATTCCCAGGATATCTCTGTTCTGTTGGGTTTCTCACCAGTGTGACAAACAGACCTGTCTGTCTGACTTTGCTTTGGGCTGGCAATTATTGCCAGTCCTGATTGGAGCAGTGCTGGGTTTAGCCTGGAGAAAAGGAGGCTCGGGGTGACGAGGTGGGGATCGGTCACAGGTTGGACTCCATGGTCTGGGAGGTCTTTTCCAACCTCAGCGATTCTGTAATTCTGTAGCCCAGCTCATTCCCTGACTTTGGAGAGTCTCCCCCAGCTTTGCAGGTTGCTGGGCACGGTGGGGTGCAGCCCTTGGCAGTGCCCCAGAGCCCGGGAGGGGTGGGAGCTAAATCCCCCTCAGCTCTGGGCTGACTGTGCCTGATCCCTGGACAGTGAGAAGAGGAGACGTGCTGGCAGCGTGGAGCGGGATCCGGCCCCTGGTGACAGACCCCAACTCCAAGGACACGCAGTCGATCTCGCGCAACCACGTGGTGACCATCAGCGACAGCGGCCTCGTCACCATCGCAGGTCCTGCCGGGGCTCCTCGTGGGGCTGGGCTGGGCTTCTGGGGGGCTCTGCTCATCATCCCTCGGTCCTGGAGCTAGACACTGATCTGTGGGGCAAGCCTGACAAGAATCCTGTCATATATAATTATATATATATAGTGTGTAGCAACTTCATATTCTTCTTGCTCTTCCCAAATAAAGAGGTGGACGTGTGTTCCCACAGGGGGGAAGTGGACAACCTACCGTGCCATGGCACGGGACACCATCGATGCAGCCATTCAGGAGCACAACCTGAAGGCAGGATCCAGTAAAACCATGGGGCTGCGGCTGGAGGGGGGTCAGGACTGGAGCCCCACACTCTACATTAGGCTGGTCCAAGACTACGGGCTTGAAAGCGAGGTGGGTTGTGGTTCTGGTGATGCTTGGATGTTTTGGTGTTGCAGGGGTTTGGTTTTTCCCTAAATCAAACACCAGCATAACGTGGATAAAGGTGTGGTGAGCCTGATCAGAGTTTATTGTCTGGCTGGGGCAAAGACTGGTAGTTGTTCTTCATCTTTCCTTTTTCTTTCCTTCCAGTCTTGACTGTTTCCTGCTCTAAAATGTTGGGGTCTGTCTCCCTTGGAGCCCCCAAAGCTGTACATCAGCCGTGATCTCAGCGTGGCAGAAGAGCTGGGGTGTCCTCAGACCCAGTGATACAGACACGGGGGGCAGTGCTGGTCCAGCCCATCCACAACAGACTTTCCTCCCACACAGTCACAATCTAACACCCTCTGTAGCCTGCTTGTTATTGCTGATGAGGGAGTGGACAAGGAACACTGCATATTTCATGCTTTCAGAGTATACTGGGTTTGTTTTCCTCTCCACAGGTGGCTCAGCACTTGGCTTCCACCTACGGGGACAAGGCTTTTGAGGTGGCCAAAATAGCCCAAGTCACAGGGAAGAGGTGGCCAATTGTTGGGAAACGTCTCGTGTCTGAATTCCCTTACATCGAAGCTGAGGTATGTGGGAAAACTACCTCATGTTCTTTGGGTCTGTTCTTGGCATGAGCAGGTTCTAGAGCAGGTCGTGGCTCTGTGAAACATCTCCTTGAGCCCTTTCCTTTGGGAAGGTCCAGATTTTTTTCTGATCCTGTTTTTCCTCTTGCCTGTAGCTCGCTTTATTTTTATGTGTTTATATATACACATACTAATATATATAATTAACTGCTTATATAATGTCACTTTTTAATTTCGCATATAAAAAAATTTATCCCGAGTGAGTTTTATAAAACTCAAGGAAAAGGGAACTTTCCAAGCCCTTCTCTTGGCTGGGTGGGTGCTGGCCTGCCAGAGCTCCTGTCGCGTGGCCAGCCCAGCAGTGTGCTCTGGGATGGAATTCCCGCCGCTCCCATGTCCGTCTCACCCGCTCCAGGTGGTGTATGGAGTGAAGGAGTACGCCCGCACCGCCGTGGACATCATCTCCCGCCGCACCCGCCTCGCCTTCCTCAACGTGCAGGCGGCTGAGGAGGCCCTGCCCAGGATCGTGGACATCATGGGCAAAGAACTCAACTGGAGCGAGCAGAAGAAGAAGGTACAAAGGGCCTTTCTCAGCTGGAGCTGCTTTGTTTTGCTTAAGGAGTTTCCATGTTAACGATCCAAGTCGGTTGAATAGAAAACTACAAGCGATGTTTTATTCCTGAGAGAATGAGTCACTTGCTGCATTTCGTTATAAAGAGTTTATCAAATAGCTGTGAAATGAGTTGGGATTGGCCAGGGGGTGGAGGGGAAAGGGAAGATCTGTATCCTGTTGTTCCCCAGCTTTAAAAATGAAACCAGACTTGGCATTACTGTCCTATTCCTATCAGTTATTTTGTTTACTGACACTTTTCAGCTGATCTGCCTCAGCAAAGGAGGATCTTGTAGTCTGTGTCACTGCTTTTTGTCCACTCTGTCTTTTGAGGAGTGATGTCTGTGGTGCTGAGGACAGACCTGGCTATCCCACTGACAGGAATCCTGCCCCTTCGGAGCTACCACATCAGGAAGCTACCAAACAGCACTTGTTGCTGTTGTTGTAAACAAAGAGGTGCCCAGAATAGTGGAGGCTGCACTTGTAATACTGTCCTGAGTGTGGTGGAGCAACAGCAGGAAAGGAGGGACAGGGCCCTGGGACCTCTTTGCCTGGGAAGCAGAGCCTGTGAATGCTCAGCTGGCACTTCCACTCCAGAGTTTCCCTTGGGGTGTTCATGGAACCTTTTAGCCAGTCAGAAGTTGGATTGACATTCTGAAGGGGCTCATTTGAGCCAGAGGACCTGCTGTGATCCTAGAGCCTGCCTGCAGGAATGCCTGAGGAAAGGGATCCCATCCTGTCCCAGGTGTGAGGGTGCTGCTTGGTGCTGTGTATCACAGCCAGAGGAGTTCAGCTGTGTTAGAGGTGCCTCACCCTCACCCCGTGAGATTTGCTCATAGAATCCTTTTCCAGGTTGAACAAAGCTACACCACTTCTTCCCTAAAAATAGGTTAGCAAATGGGAAGCTGTCAAGGCAGGGAATTTGGAATGAGCACATGGTTAGGGTTGCATGGACAGCCCCAGTGCCAGCACCTTTGGTGGGGAGTTGGGCACCATTCCCACCCTCACCTGCAGGAAGAAAAATGGGCAAGTCCTGCACTCACCTGTAGGAATTCCAGAGCCTTCCATGGCTCGTGGGAGCTCAGGAATGCCACTGAGGCATCTCTGCATCGCCTGGGTGTCCACTGGGCTTTGTTCTGGAAAAAGACCCTTTGCTGTAGAGAGAACTCAATTCTGTGGTGCTTTATGTATGTCAGAGGTTTATCACTCATTAAAACCTGGCCAGGGAAGACCTTGCACTGAACTTTCAGGTAATAAAATCATTTTACTACCATCAGGAAAACTAGTTTAAACCATAAAGAACCTGCCTGGTGTTGAGCCTCCTGACTTTCTTGCTGGTTTTGGACAGCTGGGTGAAACACCACACTGAGGTATCAGCTGGAAGTGAAATGGTGTGTTGTAGGCCTGACCCAAAAGGGCCGTGTTCTCCTGTGATGGGCACGCTCCCCATCTGTGACTGAAGGTGTGGGATGGTCCTGAAAGCATTTACAGAGAAATTAGAAGTCTTACTAGAGTTGATTCCTCTTTCCAAGACTAAAAAGTGCCCAAGTTTAACTTTTAAAATACTTTTCAGCTGCCATCTGCTTAATTTTGGGAGCTTAGATAACTCCTGGTTAAATGGAAGAATCTAATAATAAAATATAATAAATAAATAAGAAATACTACATGAAAAATACTTGTGTAAGAACTTGCTATTCCTCAGATACACAGGTTTTCTGTTTTTGTTGTAGGAAGAGCTTGAAACTGCAAGAAAATTTCTCTATTATGAAATGGGCTACAAAGTAAAAACAGATCAGTTAACAGACAGCTCTGAAATCAGCCTAGTGCCTTCAGATATTGAGAGGTGAGTGAAGCAGCAGAGTTAATGAGGCCCTGTCCCTCTCCTGGTGCAGTCCCCCATGGATAACCCTTCTCCCGCAGGTACAAGAAGCGGTTCCACATGTTTGACAAGGACAAGAAGGGCTTTATCACCATCCTGGACGTGCAGCGTGTGCTGGAGGTGAGGCTCCTTCGGTCTCCTTTGGGAGCAGCCCCTGTGGCTCTTGGGGTGTGGTGCTGGTGCTGAACAGTGCTGAGCAGTGCTGTGCTGTGCTGAGCAGTGCTGAGCAGTGCAGTGCTGTACTGAGCAGTGCTGAGCTGAGCAGTGCAGTGCTGTGCTGTGCTGAGCAGTGCTGAGCTGAGCAGTGCAGTGCTGTGCTGTGCTGAGCAGTGCAGTGCAGTGCTGTGCTGTGCTGAGCAGTGCAGTGCTGTGCTGAGCAGTGCTGAGCAGTGCTGTGCTGTGCTGAGCAGTGCTGAGCTGAACAGTGCAGTGCTGTGCTGAGCAGTGCAGTGCTGTGCTGAGCAGTGCTGTGCTGAGCAGTGCTGTGCTGAGCAGTGCTGTGCTGTGCTGAGCAGTGCAGTGCTGAGCAGTGCTGTGCTGTGCTGTGCTGTGCTGAGCAGTGCTGTGCTGAGCAGTGCTGTGCTGAGCAGTGCTGTGCTGAGCAGTGCAGTGCTGTGCTGAGCAGTGCAGTGCTGTGCTGAGCAGTGCTGTGCTGAGCAGTGCAGTGCTGTGCTGAGCAGTGCTGTGCTGAGCAGTGCTGTGCTGAGCAGTGCTGTGCTGTGCTGAGCAGTGCTGTGCTGTGCTGAGCAGTGCTGTGCTGAGCAGTGCAGTGCTGTGCTGAGCAGTGCTGTGCTGAGCAGTGCTGTGCTGAACAGTGCTGTGCTGAGCAGTGCAGTGCTGTGCTGAGCAGTGCAGTGCTGTGCTGAGCAGTGCAGTGCTGTGCTGAGCTGAGCAGTGCAGTGCTGTGCTGTGCTGTGCTGTGCTGTGCTGTGCTGTGCTGAGCAGTGCAGTGCTGTGCTGTGCTGTGCTGAGCAGTGCTGTGCTGTGCTGAGCAGTGCAGTGCTGTGCTGTGCTGTGCTGAGCAGTGCTGTGCTGTGCTGAGCAGTGCAGTGCTGTGCTGAGCAGTGCTGTGCTGAGCAGTGCTGTGCTGTGCTGAGCAGTGCAGTGCTGTGCTGTGCTGTGCTGAGCAGTGCAGTGCTGTGCTGAGCAGTGCTGTGCTGAGCAGTGCTGTGCTGTGCTGAGCAGTGCTGTGCTGTGCTGAGCAGTGCTGTGCTGAGCAGTGCTGTGCTGTGCTGAGCAGTGCAGTGCTGAGCAGTGCTGTGCTGAGCAGTGCTGTGCTGAGCAGTGCTGTGCTGTGCTGAGCAGTGCAGTGCTGAGCAGTGCTGTGCTTGCTTTGTGCAGAGCATCAGCGTGCAGATCGCCGAGAACACCCTGCACGAGATCCTCAACGAGGTGGACCTCAACAAGAACGGGCAGGTGGAGCTCAACGAGTTCCTGCAGGTGAGTGGTTCCTCTCGTTCCAGGAGAAGCTGTTTCTTTAGTGAGCAAAGCCACAGGTAGGGAATTTTTTCCCCTTGTCTTAGGGCTGGCATGGAGACCAGGTGAGTGTGACCTGTGACAAGGGACACACAGAACCATCCTTGAGCAGCTTGGGCAATGATATTTTTCCACTGAGACCCAAGAACAGGTCCAGTTTACAGATTATGCCCCAGTACAGTCCTGAGTTTGGCATTTTTCGTACAGAAATGCTGTTTAAATATGTAAAAAACAATACGGTTGCCCACTGGAAGTTGCATGGCAGAGCTGTGCACACTGACATTGTCTTGGGCTGTTAAGGGATTAGTAGTTTCTAAACTACTGGTAATTATAGAGATGAATAAACTGAATAATAAGAAACTAAATATTAATAATATATAATAATAAATAGCTATAATAATAAACTATAAATAAAAAATGAAATCATAAACTAAATAACTGAATATTATATTGTAAATATATTATAAGGGCCATCCAGGCCCAATAACCCATTTTAACTCCTGGATTGGCTGAATTATCCCAGTTTCTTTGAAAGAAATGACAGGCATCTGCCTTTGGGAGGCTTTCAAATAAAACCAAGGGTGCTCCCTTTGCATATGCAGTTTGCCAGCTGGGTTTGTTCTGAGGAGTGTTTTTTGGGGTGGTATTTCAGAGCCTGCCATGTCTCCCCTGCCCCGTGGCAATGATGAATGTGGAACAGGAGAGAAATTAATGCTGGGGATTTTGGTCAATGTCAGCCCTTTCTTCACTGTGTCAAGTTAAACAAACAAGATCAAGGCGAAGGAAATGGTAATTGTCTCTCTGGAGATGAGCTGGGGATAAGAGCAGCATTGTTGAATCTAAATGCAGAAAATTTTCACAGGTTGTGTCCAGCATTAGCAAAAAGGAGTATTTATTTGCCTAAAATGCAGCAATTGAGCTGGGGAGCTGCAGTGAACTCGGGAGAAGGGGAAAAAGCAAACCAAACAAACCAGGAGGGAGGGAGAACCAATGGCTTTGGGAGCTTGTGGTGACATATTGAAATGGAAGAGAAAATCCCAGCTGGTTCTGGCTGTTGGAAAGGGTCACCCTCATACCTCCCTTGGCATGTGGAGACCTTCAGTTGGGGGAGCCCAGCCCTTACTGCAAGAGCTGTGTTAGCTGGAGTTTGGGTAGTTTGGGGAACATCGTGGTTAAGAAGCTGCAACAATCAGTAATTGTGTGTTCTGTGGGTTTTGGGGGCATTGTGGGGTTTTTGCTTTGCTGGGCTGACCAGTCCCCCCGGGGCCTGGGGGCCCTGTGTCATCTCTGTACAATATAAAGGCCAGGCACTGCCCTGGGGTGGTTTCACAATTGTCTTTGCAAACCTGTGTCGCTCTGTGGCTCCTGCACATCTCACAGCCCAGTGCTAAGTGGGAAGAGTGGCACTGAAACGAACAGGGGGTTGCCATGGAAGGAGCAAAATACATTAAATGTTTGTTTAATTTTTTAATGGATCTGTTAAGTCAGTGCCCAATGCTTGGGTGTTTGCTTTCTGAAAACTTCCAAGTAATTGCGTTTCAGCGCCGAGCGGTTGTGCAAGCCCTGGGCAAATATTTGTGGAGGTTTATGTTAGAATATAGAACAGGTTGTACCTGGGGGCTGCCTGGCTCTCCAGGTGGGAGCACAGTGCTGAGGGAACCCAAATAATGGCCTGGTGAGAACCGGGCCTGGCAGCCCCCGGTGCCCACACGTGTCCATGGAGTGATGCTCAGCAGAGAGGGGACCTTGGGGTTGGGATGTAAAGGCAACCCCCCTCACAGGCACGAATTTCTCCCCAATATCCCATCTAACCCTGCTCTCTGGCAGTGGGAAACCATTCCCTCTTGTTCTGGCACTCCAGGACTTGTCCAAAGTCCCTTTCCAACTCAGCCTTGGCAGGACTGACACCACATTTGCAGAGGTCCCACTGCAGGTGCAATTAATAGATTTTCCTATGGAAGGGAAGGAATCTGAAGGATTCCTACACTCCGTGGGAGTAAGAAATTGCATTTTGCAAGTGCCAATTTCTTCCCCAGCGCTCTGTGCTGAGCTGTCTGCAGGTAATTTCAGATCTAATGCTCACTTTATCCATGGGATAAAAAAGAATTAACTAAAATCTTAGCACTAGTGTGTGCTCATTGAGAGAGAACCGAGCCCAGCTCCCAGGACTTAAAGGCAAATTAGTTTTAAAAGTCTATAAAGGAGTTTGGATTTGAAGGAATTGTGGAAGTCAAGTACAGTGTCTCTGCAGAGAAAGGCTTGTGAGTGAAAAAGGGCTTGGTCTGGGGTCAGTGGTGGATCAGAAATCATGGAATCCCGGGATGGTTTGGGTTGGGAGGAACCTTCCACTAGCCCAGGTTGCTCCAAGCCACGTCCAGCCTGGCCTTGGACACTTCCAGGGGTCCAGGGGCAGCCACAGCTTCTCTGGGCAACCTGGGCCAGGGCCTCCTCACCCTCCCAGCCAGGAATTTCTTCCTAAACGGAAAAAAATCCGAATGGTGCTCTTGTTTGAGCTGCATCTCTCAGATCTTACAAACAACCCTGTGGGAGGGGTGGTTATCCCACGTTCTGAAATGTCATGGCAAAAAAACCCAGTGATGGTGGTTGTCTGCACTGGGACTTCCAAGTGGATCATATTTGGTACTTCCACTCTTCCTACCACCTGTGCCTGCCCAAAGCCTTCTCTGATGTTTCTGGGAAGTGTAAACGAGCCTTGAGGGGAGGCTTTGAAGCCGCAGTGTTGGTTTGTCCCTGGAGAAGTCGGGTCTGTAGGTTCATGACGGGGTGGTGAGGGCTCTGGGCTCCCAGACGACCTGTGCCCTGTGCCCCGTGGCTGCCCTGAGCAGGGGGCTGATGGGCTGCTGCCCCTGTGTCCCCAGCTGATGAGTGCCATCCAGAAGGGCCACGTGTCGGGGAGCAGGCTGGCCGTGCTGATGAAGAGCGCCGAGGAGAACCTGCGGCGCCGCGCCGCCATCCCGGTGGACCGGAGCGGGGGCGGTGTGTGAGCCCCCCACCCCCCATGGCTGCCCGAGGCTGCTGAGAACGTTCCAGAGCTTCTGCCCTCCCCGCTGGCCCCGGTGCCCAGAGCTCTTCCCCAATACATTGGTGCATTCATCCTCCTCATTAATGGTTTTCTTACTCCTCCGGTACGTGGCCTTCGGGTTGGGGGTTCTGCAGTCCCAGGGGTTTCTTAGCAAGAGTTCAGGAACACAGGCTGGGAGGGTTTGGGGGCACACACAAGCACCTACTGCCTTGGTCATTAACTTTGCACTTTTATCTTTAAAGCAAAGGATGCTCAAAGCAAATCCTGCCATTAAACGTGTTGAATTCTCCAAATACAGACCTGGTATCTCCAAGCTGCTGCTGTGTCTTCAGCAAAAAGCAAGAGAAGGAGGGCTGGCGTTCCGGATTGGAGATATGATCCCAAAAGGAACAAATCTGACCTTTCCTGGGGTGGTGGTGATGGTGGAGAGCTGTCCTGAGCCTTCCAGGAGGTTGGGTTCGCTCTGTTATTCCAGTGGTGCCAGTACTTGGCCACACAAAAATAGCAGCTGGAAAACAAGACATCTTGATGAATCACCCCCAGGCAATAATTTGGCTAAAAGCTGAGGACATCTTCCCTTTCTCCCATATTAACACAAATAACTGCCTTTAATAAATGGGCACTGTCTGGCAGGTTGTGCTTTGAGCTGTGAAATAAAGGTAAAAGGTGCTTTATGCTAAAAAGTGCTTTGAGTTTGGGACAAACCCTGCTGACATGTAGGATAGGGCAGGTTTTGGTAGCACAACAGTCTTAATTAAAAAATGCTCAAACACAGAGTGAAAAAAAACAAAGTCTGTCTTGCATTCCACTAACTTTTCTAGAAAAAAGGGCTATTTTTCAGCACATTAATGGAAAAACCAAAACAAGAAGCTGTTTCCAGCACTGCTGTACCTGTGTCTTGCCTTCCTGCTGCTGGATTTGGTCGAGATCAGGTGGGAGATTTCTGCCTGATGTAGAACAAGGCAGGGAAAACCTGGTTTATTGCTGGATTTGGCATCTGTTTTATTCCTTGAGTAGAAATAGCAATTTCCACCTCAAACCAAGCTTCACTTCCCAGGTGTCAGAATTTCTGATCAGTAAAATCTAGTGTATTTGACTGGTGTCACCACATTCACTGATGGAAAATAACAGGACAGGAGTGAACAGCAAAGATTCCTTGGATATTTTTATAGAGAAAATGATTCCAGACACAAATGGAGATGCTGAGGAGTGTGGGATGTAGCACAGTGAGTACAAATGTTTTATTTTGCTGGAGAAGCAGAGTCCTTTAAAAAATTAAAATTCAGGTGCTGAAAAATAGTAGATACAAAAGAAAAAAAACCAGGGCAAGGCTCATCTAAAATGAGTTTTTAAAATGGTTTTTGCATGTTAAATTCATTTTTTGATGCAGATATTTTTCAGGTTGTGGCTTTGTGCTGTGAGCAGGGACTGAGGGAGGAGTTGGCACATCTGACACCACAAGGTTGTTTTAATGAACAAAGGGGTTTGTTCCTGTGGTCCTGTAAACTTTTCCTTTTGAACTGTGTTCCAGAATATTCAGGTGAAAGATTGAATGTTTGACGCAGCTTTGTATTTCCAAACCCACAGTAACAGATTTCACATATCCTGCAGAACTGAGGGAAGTGAATGTATAACACACAGGTAATTTTGGCTCAATGAACAAGGGAAGGGGGTTGGGATTCTACAATTGCCAATAATTTAAGGGGGGAAAAAAAAAGTAAAAGTCATGAGACCTTTTCCAGGCCACGTTAAAAAAAATATTTCCAATATTGAACAGCTTTTACATGGTTTAAAGAGGAATTCTCTTCCACTCCTCTCTAACTGGCTTTGTTAAATTAATAACCCTGGTTTACCTGGAAAGCAGGATTTTCTGTGTTGTACCCAAAGTATGTTTCTCTTGTTTTGCTAATCTTGCATCTGGAATGTGACTTCGGGATTCTTTTGTTTTGCTAATCTTGCATCTGGAATGTGACTTTGGGATTCTCCTGGCTATGTGTCCTTGGACATGGATTTGCTTTGCGTCTCAGGCACCTTATGTCACGCTCCTGCTCCCCTGTACAGCCCTGGAATGACAGGGACAACTGCATGTGTTCCTTCAACAGCTGAATCTGTACATGAAGAAATCCGAAGTATTTATTTGTCCCCTCACTCTGTCTGCAGGAATGTTGGCTGTGTTGTTTAAGGTTTTTTTAATGTGAATGTACTGTGGGAAGAGTTGTACAATGTCACTGTCTTGCTGTGCTGACCTGGGGTGGAAAAGCAGGAATGGGATTTTTTTTTCCTCCTTTTTTTTTTTTTTGGGTGAGATGAGACTTGGGTTTCTGGATTTGCTGGGGTTGTTTTGTGTTTTAAATAAACTGCACACCTGGGGGGATCCATGCAGTGTGTGTCCATGTGTATAAATACATGTACAGACACTCACTGCAGGTTTACACGTGGCACTTACGTCTGTTGTCAGGTTCCTGTTGCAGCCTGGGCTGTTCAATGCTGTGTTTGAGGCTGGGTTGTTATTTTTATGACTGTCTTGGTGTTTTCCTGCCATTATTTATTACCTTTGATATCTGGAATGAGCCGCATGTGTTTATTGAGCAATAAGAGGATGTATTTAATGTGCCTTGTTTTTAACTGAGTAAGGACTGAGAGCATGAATCAATAAAACTGGTTAAAAACGCTCCTTTCACTGGCAGTTTGTCACGGCAGGTGAAAAAATAACTTGGATTCGCCTTGCAAAAGTTCCTTTGGGAAGGAAGGATGTTGGGATAGATGTGTCTGGGTAAACAGAACCGGTTTTTTCGTGCTTTCCCACCTTAGCTCGGAATTTGGCACTCAGTAGTTCCGAAGTGAAAATGAGGAGTTAATGCAGCACTTGGCATTCCTGGGAGGTGACAGGGTGAGGAATCCTGCACTGCCCTCTCAGGCTGGAATTGCAGCAGCCACCTGGATTTGGGGGGGGGGGGCTGGAAATGCCAACCGCGAGCAGTCCTGCACACTGATGAGTTTGATCCTGACTAAAATCAATAGAAGCGAACAGGAGCGATTTCCTAATCCATTTGGATCATGTTACATGTCAGGTTTCCCGGGGTTGCCGTGTGTTGATGAATGTTCCGACAGAACAAATCCATTTTCCCTGTCAGTAAATCAGCAGCGCCGTTATCAGGGCAAGCACAATCTTTATAATCTCCAGATTATTTCGTAGGGTTTAATTTACACTTGTAATGGGGATATTCCACAAGTGCTGCAGAGCTGTGCTGGTGCAGGGGTTGTGTGTGTGCAGCTGGAGCAGCTCCCTCCGTGTGGGGATGAACCGGGCCGGGGTGGAACTACAGAGATTATGGATTTTCTCTAGTCCGTGGTGTGTAAATCATATGGCACAAAATGTTTTGCTGTGACCAGCTTTGTCCCAAATATTTGGCAGCACTAGAATTGCCTTGGGTCACGCTCCTGACCTTGCTGCTGGAAGGAAGAGGAGGTTTGGGGCTGGTCCCTTCCTCCGGCGTCTCCATGGCACGGTCAGAAATTCAGATTTATTGCACCTTGTGCAGCTGGTGCTCCACGGGCTGGTTAAAATATGATGGGGAATATCATAGCAGCATTAATATTTCAGCGTTGTGCCCGAGCTGGGTGTTTCCTGTGTCGGGTGGGAACTGATTGCATCCGCTGGAGAGAAATCCATCCCTGGGGCCGTGGCTGTGCTGCTCCCACGGGCTCGGTGCTGCTCCCACGGGCTCGGTGCTGCTCCCACGGGCTCGGTGCTGCTCCCACGGGCTCGGTGCCCCCCGAGGAAGAAGAGGGGGCTCATATTCGTGGCTGTTGTGCCTCAGGGTGTGAGCCCTGGTCTCCCTGTCCCAGCAGTGCCCAGTTTTCCTGTCCATGCCCCGGGAGCTGGCGGTGTGGCAGGAGGGCTCGGTGCCCTGGGCTCTGGGGCAGCTCCCCTCGGCTCGGTGCGCCAAGGAAGGCACGGATGGAATTCTGCTCCCTGAGCTCGCTCCGTGTGTTCCCACAGCCCTGTGCGAGCGCT